ATGGAACACTCACGGGATTCTCCTATCATTCCAGTCCCCATCTGAACTGAACTGAACTCGGCGCCACGGCTGGGTTAAACACGGCACTCAATCGCGCGGTCCCTCACATCCTTCCCTAGCTAACTGCGTCGTTCGGTGTCGTATTTTTAGCTAATACACAGGAACAGCGTGTACCACAATGCACCTTCGTCCCGTCACTTCCATGTCTTATTTTTTCCCTCCCCGTGAACAGTACTCACCAATAGTCTGTTAGCGGGAGCCGGCCACTCTCACTACATTGGTGACCCTGACAAGAATCATCGCATGGCAATAATCCATTTCGTCACCGCATTAGTGACGCCGTTCCGAATGATTCTCCACTACGTTGGAGATTCCGATTGGAAGTGAGTCCGCTCCACTTTTTCCTGGTCCATTTCGTGACACGTTTTCATCCACTTTCACTAATTGTTTATTTTCGGAACCATAGACTCAATCGCTAAGTACATTGAGCACGAGCTGACTGTTCCTTCAGTCACTCTGGTAGTTCCTCCGTTTATGGAGATAGACACTGCTTTATGGTTCACGATCTTAGAAGCAGAATTTGCCAATAAACGTATCACACGTGACTTAGATAAGTTCAACAACCTGTTATCTCGTCTTTCCTTGGATCTCACTGTTCAACTTGGCGATGTAATTGTGACAGCTGACCCGACTAACTGAAAGATGCCATAATAAAACGATGCACACCTTCAGACGGATCTCGTCTGCATCAACTCTTTTCCGATTTGCAGTTAGGAAGCAAGAAACCGTCGATACTTAGTGGAGATGCGCCGTCTCATAAGAGGTTTGACCATGGAATCTTTGCTTCAGGAACTAAGGCTGCAATGTTTACCTGAGCACCTGCAAGCTGTCTTATGCCTCGCCAAGTCTAAACCGTTGTCAGAAACCGCCAAAATTACAGATAGCATACTGGATCGTTACACTGAACCACTTTGTGCTTCTTCTAACCTCGCCCGGCCAGCTGACGCGCCTCACCGGGTACAGACCGTCGCTTCATTAAACGACAACGCAAACAACTCGCCTTCAACGCAGACCTTTGTGGACGAAATCGCTTCACTAGAACATGAAGTTCAACTTTTAACCTGCACCAGCATCAATGAGGCTGGATGTTACCGTGGTGCGATAGTTTGCGTACTTCAGCGCTGCATTGAGCTATGCTGGTTGGTGCATTTTTGCACCTTCAGAGCCATTCATGCCAGATTGCTTAATGGTTAGAGACCAGACAAACAGCCTTCTGGTCCTTCAGCTTGAGGGTTGGAATGGGTTGGCTCCTTATTCATTAAAACGGACTCCTTGTAGCCCAGTGCCAAACCCGCTGCATTACCGTCAGGTTTTTGAACCAAAAGCTTTGGTTGAGAACCCTAATCGTTCTCCTGTTTAGGCCTGGGCAATCTGACAGTATCCTGCCCACGCAATACTAAGAATCTTTCGTCAAACATTTTCTTTATGCTCTGGCCACCGCGGAGGATAATCAACGGCGCCCTATCTTCTGCATCGAGTAGGGTGGATAGGGCTTTGGATGCTACTGCTCAAGCCTACCCATCTTATTCTCCCTCTTACTCTTTTCCACTCTTAGCGTCCCGTTCCAGCTTCGCTTTTTTCCACCCTGTTTCCAACCTCCCAATTCTTGGCCCTCCCCCACCTTGCTTTGATAGGCTTTTACCTTTTAATTTCGACTCGTGAATACGGAGCGTCATTCCTGCCCTGTCAATATGCCCATGTCCAAGCAAGCGGCCAAGTCCAGTTCATCCGCTCCCATTTGCAACCCTCGATCATCCTTCAGATTGGCACGCCTCAAGGTACGCATACATTGCCACAGATCGGTCAACAGGCAGCACTTGCCCGAACATTGGAGACCCTCTCGATCGATATCTGCTTCTTATCGGAGCCCCTCCTGCAAGACTCGAACTCAGTGCTTCCTTTGTGATTTCCTTCAAGTGACACCGGCAGCACTCTCATTGCACATATCCGGTGACGATGCAGCTTCGAGCACCGGCCAAGCCGGTGTTGCTATTACTCTGAGTCCACGGGCTGTAGCTGCCCTGGTTGATTGGATTCCGATCAACCAGGTCCAATTGACTGGCTCGTTCTAAGCTTCGAAGCCGCACGGGACTAACAGGTGTCTGTTCGTCATCGCTGCTTGTGCACCCACAAGCTCTAGCGATGATTCGGTAAAAGACGACTTATCTCGCCATCTAAACGCACTTTCACCACAGAAGAAGCTCGGACACTGTTATGCTGGCTGGGGATCTGGACGCTCAAGTTGGAAACATATCCACTGATGAACTGCACCTGGGCGGCCAATATGGTGTAGGCTCCCGTAATAATAACGATGAGCGGTTACTTCATTTGTGTGAAGATGCTCGCTTATTTCTTGCAAGCACTACTTTCCGGCACAGCACCCGCCGGAGGGTGACTTGGCGCCCACCAGCCTCGAACCAGCCATGGACGCAACTCGATCACATTGCGCTAAGTTACCGCTGGAGAGGCTGCATCCAGAACTGTCGCTCGATTTGTAACACATGTGTGGACACCGACCATGCACTTGTATGTGCTGTCCTGCGGATGCGTTTTGGCGGACGTCCACGACGGCGACGTGAGCGCATTGACACCAGCCAACTGGCGAAGCCAGCTGTTCTGAATGCCTATCAAAGTCCGCTGTCATGCGAATTGAATAAGCGCTCACTGGATGCAATTGAAGCTCACTGGTCTCATATTCACCAGACCTTACTATCAGCTGGAAAATCCTCATGTGGTAAGTCTAATCGCCAACATGGACATTGGGTCTCTTCACAGTCTCTGGAACTTACAGATGCTCGCCGGCATATTCCGGCTGGAAGCGAACACAATGAAGCTTGCAATGAGCTCCGGGCAAAACTCCATGCTAGCCTGAAGAGAGAGACCGCGAATCCTGCTTGTTTCAATGTGTTTCAGAGATGCAAATGCTCGCTGCCCTTGAGAACCGTCGTAAGTTATTCCGGCTGATACGGGAAACGGGGAGCAGGGGACCTGGTGTCAGTGAAACTATACGTGATGGGAATGGACAGCCTATCCACAACTTGTCAAAACGCTTGGAGCATTGGGCTGAGCACTTTGAAAGGCAATTTAATCAGTCGGAATTGTTAGATTTCTCACCGGCCACTGATCGCCCCGCTCTGTGGGCTGTCCCTTTGGATCCACCCTCGCTCAGAAGTCGAACGTGAAATCGAACTGATGAACTTAAATAAAGCCGCGGGACCAGATGATCTTCCTCCAGCCCTCTTTAACTTCGAGGGACCTGCTCTTGTGGATGATTTATACGACTTACTAGTGAAACTGTGGGAGCAGGGAACTGTCTCAACTGACTGGACCCGCTCCGTCATAGTCCTAATTTTCAAAGGAGACTCACTATCGGAATGCGGCAATCATAGAGGAATCAGCCTGATGTCCATCGCCTCCAAATTGCCTCTGTCATCCTTCACAGACTGACGGGCACTTGTGAAAGCCATATATTCGTGAACTGCAAGCTGGGTTTCGTCGAGGTCGTGGCTGCATCTTCACTTTGCGTCAGTTGTTTGAGCACCGTCGCATATATTGGCGGCCCACTCTAGTCGTGTTCCTCGATACAAAAGATGCAATTGTTTCGCTGCATAGATGTGCACTTTGGGACTGTCTACTCAGGAAAGGTGTACCTGCGAAATATGTAAATATTATGCGATCATTATACGCGCGTAGCTCAGGCAGAGTGAGCGCTTACGGCAAGCTGTCGTCGCCCTTTAATATCTTCAGCGGTGAGAGACAACGATGCCCGCTGTCACCTATCCTCTTCAACTTCGCTATTGACGAAGTAATGGAGATCGCGTTCACAGGACACGAGTTAGAAGGTGTGGATCTGCCCCCATGTGAACGACTTTTTGACTTGGACCATGCTGACGATATTTCCCTAATCTGTGACAGCTCACAAATGTGCCACGCTGCACTAGACAGATTAGCACTGGCTGTTCGTCACTTTGGGCTTTGCTTCGCACTCTCTTAGTGCAAAGCGTTCCTCCAAGGTATGCCTGGACCGCCTCCTCCTACGCTGATCATTTGTGAGGATCAGCTAAAAGTCGTTCAAAAATCCAACTACCTGGGAAGTTGTATCAGCGCCGGTGAGATTGAAGATGAGCTCACGAACCGTGTAGCAAAAGCTCGAGGCGCTTTTGCTAACCTTCGCCACTTATGGCGCCGGCGCGACATCACTCTTGCCCTGAAGGGTAGAGTGTACAATGCAGCGGTACGTTCGACCCTACTGTACGGTTGTGAAACCTGGCCTCTTAGATCAACGGACATAAAAGGGTTGTTACGTCCAACCACCGGTGCTTTCACAATTTTGTTCACATCTGGTGGGAACACTGAATAAGCATCGAGCGTGTTCGACGCCTTGTTTACTACACAGGAAAAGGAAATGAACCGCTCAGCACCGTTATTTCACACACCAGGCTCTGATGGCTCAGCCACGTGTTATCCATGCCAGCCCACCGACTGGCGCGACATGCGTTGTTTGCGCGCCAGGGGTGTGGATGGAAGAAGAGGAGGGGTGGCCAAGCGATGACTGGGTCGAGAGGAATGTAGGCGCTCACTTCGAAGCTGGCCTCAGTTGGAGCGTCTCGGCTCCCTGGTTGGAGTCCGAAAGACGATGAACACGTTTGGCTGGATACACTTGTTGATATGGCTAGGAGCCGACCTCAGTGACGTTCGTGCTGTGAGTTTGTTTGTCCCACCCCATCCATCTTACCCTCCCCTCCAACCACGATTTCACTATTCAGCCTTATGTGATAAATTTTTTTTGCTGCATAGTAGCCGGCTGGTAGTTTACCGGAACGATGCCCATCCGTTACCGGTAACTCAGCTGGCTTGCACCTGTTGCATTTTTTGCTTTTCTTCTTTTATGTATGGCGACACAGTAGCTGAGGTGTTTCGCACCTCTAGCTAACGTGTATAATGATAATGATGATGCACCAGCATCAGCGTAGAGACACGTACCGTTCGCGTAGTCGCGCTCGTAGTACCACACGACGCTCTATATGCCGTTCCCATGTGCGTTTTGGTTGCGCTGCTAGAAATTGCATTAAGCCTTATAATTTTGCATCGACAAAGTAGCAGGCTAAGCAAATCCTTGACAGACGACATCAGATTCACAGTCTGATAAAGACCAAAGGCAACTGTCGATCTTAGGGATCATGTTCCTAGTGGACACTGGAGCGGAGGTCAGCATGATCCCACGAAATCCGAACGAATCGACTAAGCAGCAGGTAGTAAACCTACGTGCCGCCAACGGTATGTCCATTGCAATTTTGGCCAGCGTTCTCTAACCATCGATCTT